CCAAGGCTGCGTGGCCTCGGACAGGCTAACTGTGGCCTGTGCTAAAGGAGATGCCAATGCCAATAAGGTTGCACCCTGCGAGGCGCCGAGAAACGTTTGAGGGGGGGCCGTCGCTTCGGAAGCCTAGAAAAGAAGAGGGTGGCCTCGGCGGTTAGCATCGTATGTGGCAGTTCAGGCCATGCCAAGGCTGCGTGGCCTCGGACAGGCTAGCTGTGGCCTGCGCTAAAGCCCACAAAGGTGGAGATGCCAATGCCAAGGTTGTGCCCTGCGACCCCAGGATATACACCAACAACAGCAATCACAGCAGCAGCACTAAGAAGAAGACCCAGAAGCATCACAAGATCAGAAAAACCACTAGCAACAGGCAGCAAGAAGCATAGTAGCAATGCCTCTGTTCTGGCTGTGCTAATAGACTGGCGGCTGTTTGCGGGGGCCTTGTTGGACAGCCCAGGTGCTGAGCCAGCAAGGCCTGTGCTGCGGCAGCCCTGGTGCTGACCGTAGCACTTCCTGTGGACGGCCGCAGGTCTATCTGCGTGGCTGGAGAATGGCAAGCAGAAGAAGAAGAAGAAGCAGAAGAAGAAGAAGAAGAAGAAAAAGAAGAAAACGAAGTAGCAATGCCTCTGTTCTGGCTGTGCTAATAGACTGGCGGCAGCTGTTTGCGGGGGCCTTGTTGGACAGCCCAGGTGCTGAGCCAGCAAGGCTTGTGCTGCGGCAGCCCTGTTGCTGACCGTAGCACTTCCTGTGGACGGCCGCAGGTCTATCTGCGTGGCTGGAGAATGGCAAGCAGAAGAAGAAGAAGAAGCAGAAGAAGAAGAAGAAGAAGAAAAAGAAGAAAACGAAGTAGCAATGCCTCTGTTCTGGCTGTGCTAATAGACTGGCGGCAGCTGTTTGCGGGGGCCTTGTTGGACAGCCCAGGTGCTGAGCCAGCAAGGCTTGTGCTGCGGCAGCCGTGGTGCTGACCGTAGCACTTCCTGTGGACGGCCGCAGGTCTATCTGCGTGGCTGGAGAATGGCAAGCAGAAGAAGAAGAAGCAGAAGAAGAAGAAGAAGAAGAAAAAGAAAAAGAAGAAAACAAAGTAGCAATGCCTCTGTTCTGGCTGTGCTAATAGACTGGCAGCTGTTTGCGGGGGCCTTGTTGGACAGCCCAGGTGCTGAGCCAGCAAGACTTGTGCTGCGGCAGCCCTGGTGCTGACCGTAGCACTTCCTGTGGACGGCCCCAGGTCTATCTGCGTGGCTGGAGAATGGCAAGCAGAAGAAGAAGAAGCAGAAGAAGAAGAAGAAGAAGAAGAAAACCAAGAAGAAGAAAAAGAAGAAGAAGAAGAAGATCAAGAAGAAGAAGAAGAAGAAGAAGAAGAAGAACAAGAAGAAGAACAAGAAGAAGAAGAAGAAGAAGAAGAACAAACAGAAGATCAGTCACAAGAGAAGTACAACACCAACAGCGAAGAGGAAAATGCACAAAAAGACATCACAGTCACATTCAAAAACACACCCAGGATCACCAGAACAAGCCTAAAAAAATGCCTAACGTCGCCTTCGGAAGCCCATAAGAGGAGAGGAGGCAGGCTTCGGACAGGCCACAGAGAGGCCGCAACAGGCCTGCCGGCTGCCGAGGAGGGTTTGAAGGCGGTCGAAGAAAGATTATGGGCATCTTCGGACAAGCCACAGAGAGGCCGCAACAGGCCTGCCAGCTGCCGAGAGAGGAGGCAGGCCTCGGACAGGCCGCAGCAGGCTGCCAGCTGGCGAGGCCTCGGACAGGCCTTTGGAAGTGCTTGGAAGGGTTCTGCTAGGCTTGGCCAACTGCTTCACCCGAGGGTTTGAAGGCGGTCCCAAAAATGCCTAACGTCGCCTTCGGAAGCCCATAAGAAGAGAGGAG